TGTTTGTCTGCTTCATACTGAAGATATTTTTCATCTTTTCTTAGAGTGTCCAAAGTTAAAACAGCTCATTGATTATCTTGTAAATTTAAATGAGACTATTTTTTCGAAGGCAGATGTCGATGTTCTAAATTCTCAAAAATTTGAAACTTTCTTGTTGTTTAGTTCGTCACTGTGAAATAAACACGCAATTATGTTTTTTGTCAATTTCTTGATGTCTGTTGCCAGGTTTTGTATCTTCAAACGTCGTAATTTAGTGATGAATGGAGAATGTCTTGTTGATATTAAGTCTTTCTTTCAATTTACAATCAAGAAATACATTTACTACAGCTTTAACTATTACTATTTCAGACAAACCGGTGCTTTGTTTTGTAAATATTTTACAAACTCAAATCCTCTTGTACATTTTATTGGATCTGGATTACAAATATTAATGTGATTTCTTTTCTTTGCTAGTAAGGTAAGTCTGAATGGTTAGAGAGTAGAAGTAAAATATAAGTGTGTATAATAATATTAAATCCTTAAATAATTTATTACTTCTACATACTACCTGTATGTATAAGATTGTATCATATTTGTACATGCTCTGGAAATAAAGAAAAGATATTTTGGAAAAAAAAATTAAACGTCACTATGTCCAATGAGTTATTTAAATATGCAAATTACATTTTACCCGATATTTACGGTCTACGCTAGATCAGATACTACATATTATAAAAAAGTGTGTGTATATGTGTGTGTGGGTGTGTGTGTGGGTGAAGGTTTGTGTGTGTGTGTGTGCGCACGCGTGTACAATAAACGAATTAAAAAAGCCTGTTGGAACCACGCATACCGATTTACATCATCCACACCACAGAAAAGATTGGAAGTAAATTGAAATATACTATAGACTAAAGAAAACCTAACAAGCCTATACAGAAACTTCAAGAGTTTTTCGAAATTCAGCAGACCGTAACGGACTTAGCAAGTCCGAATTCTTAAAAGCGAATAAAAATACAAACAGAACACCATTTTCTGGAGCTTTGTTCATGTGACAACCCTGGCATGCCAGGAAAATCACACTTAGGTTCGTTTTGAAGACGTGTTGAAATCCTGCTTTTTTGTATTCTATATATACCACAGGAAAAATCTTAAACGCAGTGTTTCAAACCATTCATTTCAAAATACACTATTTTAAGAATCCTAACGAAATCAGATAGCAAAGCAATGTCGGATATTACATTTTTAAAATGGTGATAACCAATTTGGTTTCCGTACCCGTTCAACTAATTGCTTTTAATTAATTTTAAATGATATCATGGTGTATCATGAGAAAGGTAACGTATATTGAACATATGTAGAATAAATCTACTCTACCAGAACTCGTTAGCTTCAAAATCTTGACATTTTTCAGCTTTATTTTTCCTTTTATTTTTTGGCGAAAATATTGCTACGTAGTTGCTTTTATTAAATTCGAACACCTCTCAATAGGTTGCATTTCTTCGTTGCATTGAATTTGAAGTGGAACAGCAGCCTGTATGCTAATGACTCTACACCAACATACACGACTTCAGGAAAACAATATGAGAAAAACACCTAAGGGAAGATTTTGGGAGTGTCTGTTTCAAAATACAACATTTAAACGTCACTATCACTATGTACATTTTTAAAAATATATTTAAATACGGTATTTAGATATGCAAATAAGATTTTATCCGATATTTCCGGTCTACGCTAGATCAGATACTATACATTATTTTAAAATGTAATTAATACGGACTAGAAAAGTCAGTTTTTCATTTGCGAGTGACTGAAACATATATAATTTCAGATCTACTTATTACCTTTTCATTTTCTATTAAACGTTTTTTCATTATTATTTAATTGTTGTGAGAGTGTGTGTGTGCGTGTGTGTGTGTGTGTGTGTGTGTGTGTGTGTGTGTGTGTGTGTGTGTGGAGTCTTGTTGTTAGTCACCGGGACAGTGTTAATATGTGTAAAGTGTGTTGTTATTTACTGGAACAGTGTGGAGTATGTGTAAAGTGTGTTGTTATTTACTGGAACAGTGTGGAGTATGTGTAAAGTGTGTTGTTATTTACTGGAACAGTGTGGAGTATGTGTAATGTTTGTTGTTATTTACTGGAACAGTGTGGAGTATGTGTAAAGTTTGTTGTTATTTACTGGAACAGTGTGGAGTATGCGTAAAGTGTGTTGTTATTTATGCTTTTACAATAGAAGTGAAACGTATTCTATTTTCTGCCTCAGAATCATGCTTGATCAACTCTTAATAACAACACTACAGGACGGAACCAAGGGTACTGGTTAGGATGAGAGTGATAACATATAGGGTCGACCTATGTATAAATCCAAGGATGGAAATATTTGCATATCATTACAAGCGAGTTTGTATTTATCTTGTTTTTAAGGCATCAAGGTGTCAATACATTCATACTTTGTATCTTGGATACAATTATATATATATATGAAAAGTTTGATAATGATTAAATTTCATGTTTGCTAATCTAGGGATAAATAAGAATTTTTTTCGAACATAAATTGGAAAAGTTCTCTTTAATTCACATTATAAAAACTATTTATTCCACATTCAAATGTATCTGATATTTGAATAATCTATATCGATGTATGAAAACATATGTTTCGAAATTTTATTGTTAATAATTTTGTTCTTGGACCTTTCCATCTGTTTGATATCTATGTTTGACCTTAACTAGAGTCGCTGTATACTTAAGACCTGCTGTAGACTCATTAGCATATTCACAAGAAAAAAAATAAAAATAAAACTTGATATCAAATAATTTATATGTAATACTAATGACTATTAAGGTGTTGATATCGAAATGTTATCCTTTCCCCCGAACGACAAAAAATGATACCATTTTGAATGACAAATAATTTAATGTCACCTTGGTCTTTCTGGATAATAAATTTAACATTGTTCCGCAATAAAAATAGAGAATCTGGCTAATCAGATACCATTCCAATTAAATACCTACTATCATGTTCATAATAAAATGAATATTTTAATTTCTGAAATGGCACTTCTATAACGATTGGCCGCTTTGTATAACAAAGGTTAGTAGTCTGTTATTCCAGCCGTATCATAATTATTCATTCAGTCGTGTTTCTACGTTGAACCATTTACTAGTACCAGAAAGTTTTGAACAACTAGTTCTTCAACCTTCTTTGCTTTTCGTCCTTTCTCGAAGATTTATAATCTTTATACATAAACTATTAATAAACGAATACACAATCTGCAGCTACATTCGGCCGTGTTCATAATTGGTATATTATTAGTTTAAAGTGCTAGAGAGCATTGTTTTTCATTATATTGAACACGGACAATGGATAAATAAAATAATCGACCAGTGAATTTGCCCGTATAATATCATGACATATGGCAATAGTGTAATACACCACTGAGCGTTTTCATTGACTTCGTCAGTCAGGAATCCATCGTGAAGTCAATATTATCACGCCAAGAAATGAAAATGGAGAAGGAGATTTGCAAACTTTGCTCTAATTTGCCTTTTGGATCGACCCTTCCTTACCCATGGGTTATAGACCAGTAGTTTATGAAAAACTGAATTTCCAAGTGGGATTCAGATCAAAGCGAGATAGGACCATGGCAGTCATACAGAAGAAACATTTACAGAATTTGCTCTTTTCTAATAATGGGCACTGCCTTTCCGCCTCAGGCGGCTGCGCCCCATCTTTCAAACATGCCTGATGTTTTTCACCACAGTATATTTCAGATTAAATTTTGGCAGAATCCAAGCAGAAGGATTAAAGAGATTTGTTTTCTTCTTCCCCGAATAAGTCCTGCACTAAATTGATTCCTAATCACCAAAGGTTTTTTTTTCTCAGACCAAACTGGGGCGAATTCTGACATTCCTATAAAAGAAGAATGATTTTAGTATGACTTCTCTATTTCCCCTATTTTGTCCCACACATTAACCCCGTGGTGTTCAGACCGATAATTTACACAGAATTAAATCCCTTAATTCACTGATGCATTAGACCAATAGGTTTATAAAAATCGAATCCTTTCACCCAAGGATGCTTCTGACAACATTTTTGGTCAAAATCAAGAAGGATTTGTAAGAAAATGCTAGATATCCAATTTTGGGCCCTACCATTAAGACCTTCGGAACAGAGGCCAACTATTTATACAAAACTGATTGTCCTCCACCACACGATGCTTCAAAGCAAAGTCGAACTGCATTTAGGCATTCCTGGAGAAGAGGGATTTCACAGAAAGTTTTCTTTTTACCGTATTAGGTCCGCCCTTTCACCCAAAGGGGTCAAGACCCATCGTTTATAAAAAGTTTGCTCTTGTACACCTAAAGACGCTAAAGACGAATCCAGGTATTCCTACCAAAGGGGAATAATTTTGTTATATTTTCCCTATGGAGACCTATCCCTCTGCCAGCTTGGGAGCCGAGACCTACCAAATTCCCATTCGCCAGAAGGAACCTTTAGACCAAATTTGGACACATTTCATTATTTTGTACAGAATAAGAATTTTAAAGAATTTGATGTATTTTTCTTTTTGGCCCCGCGTGTTAGATCCAAAGGGGTCAATGTTCACTGTTTATACTAAATTAATGCCGCGTTTACCAACTAATATCTCATTCAAAATTTCGACAAAAACCCGTCATTCCTAAGAAAGACAAATTAAGAATACTAAATGTCTCCTTTTTTTGTCCGACCTTTGATACAAAATTATGTCCTGCCTCTAAAAATCTTTCTAGTTGGGCAAATATCCACTCAGTCGTTCATGGATAGTAGCGATGTTTAGAAAAAAAAATGTTAATGGATAGACAAATAAAAGAATGGCGCCGCGCTATGGCACAAGATAATCGGTGCTTTGGATCAAGTGAGCTAAAAGAAATTCATTCCTGTTCATGTTTAAATTTCAATTAATGTATATAATCTAGATTATCGAGAAAAGACAAAAATATCTAAGGCAGTCTCGTACATGAAGAGTTATTTAAGTCGATTCCTTTCACTCAGGTTGCTCAATCTGAAACATAATATATGCAAATTTAATACCTGTCCAAATTTATGACGTCATGATGTATACGAGACGATATCAAATATATGTATGTCTGTAATCGTTCTTTGCGTTCTTTTACAAGTTGAAATAACTTTCGCAATAGTCGTAAAATAAATAGAAATCGGTATGTCCATTACCTCTGCGATGCATTGAGTGACCACTTGTCGGAAATGCCGCACCAGCATCTGAATTGCCTGGTCAGCCGCCGTCCAGGGGTTCATAACCGTGTTCTTTAGGAAGACAAGTTCGTCACCTGATTCTTTTGATACCTATAAGCCAATATATGTTTTCAGATATAAAAAATTACTTCAAGCTGGTTTACACAAAAATAGAAATAGATGATATCGATCCATAGGATTTCACCGCCTTCTTATTCTAAAAATGCAAGCATTGTAAATCAAAACAACGAAATCGTTTTTCATGTAATTACTATGAAATGAGTCAGGCTATGTTGATTATTTGCCAAAGTTACGGGACGTATTCCTCTAATCACAAAACAGAAAAAGCCCACACATTACCCCAAGATGTTCCTTGATGTTTTCTAGCATAATGCCACATTCTTTTTGGGAAAGACTTGATTTTGTCAGGAACATCGGTACATCACAAACACTTCTTTGTTTGGGATCTGTGTGTGACAGTCTGTTGAATACGGTCATATTTAGACGGTTACATTTGACGACACACGTGTTGTTCTTGACATTAACGGCGAAGGCATTGATTGGCAAATCAGGACCTATCTCCGAAAGGAAATCCATCACCTCAGTATCCTGGCATGAAAAACAATAATTTGTTTATTTTGTTTCTGTTAAAAAAAGATAAATACAAGGAATAAAGACTGTTGTTTTAGATATAGTTTATTTTACAACGTTATCTGATTTAGGCAGCAATCTCGATTCGATTCCATTATCAACGTTACATCATAGTTTGGGATACGATACATCATGTTTTCTGATGCTAATATCATGTTTTATGATACGTTACGTCATGTTTTGTGATACGTTACATCATGTTTTGTGATACGTTACATCATGTTTTGTGATACATTACATCATGTTTTGTGAAACTTTGTGTTACAATATGTTGTGTGAAACGTTACATCATGTTTTATGATACGTTACGTCATGTTTTGTGATACGTTACATCATGTTTTGTGATACGTTACATCATGTTTTGTGATAAATTACATCATATTGTGTGATACATTACATCATGTTTTGTGAAACTTTGTGTTACAATATGTTGTGTGAAACGTTACGTCATGTTTTGTGATACGTTACATCATGTTTTGTGATAAATTACATCATGTTTTGTGATACGTTACGTCATGTTTTATGATACGTTACGTCATGTTTTGTGATACGTTACGTCATGTTTTGTGATACGTTACATCATGTTTTGTGATACGTTACATCATGTTTAGTGATAAATTACATCATATTGTGTGATACATTACATCATGTTTTATGATACGTTATGATGCGAAGTACGAAGCTGTTAAAATCTAAGGGAATACATTTGTACCCAAAACATGTCTATATATAAACGACAAGGTGTACTAACCCAAGAATTCAAATATAAATGTAATAAGTGCTCATAAGGGGTTTTAATTGTATCGTGTTGTTTATTGTATTAGTTTGGATCAGTGTTTATTGTCCGTCCGGAATCTCCTACTTTCCTCCACCATCCGAACCAGACACGTCTTTAAATGACCCCGGGTTTTATTGGGACGTTAAGTAACATTAAACCAAAATCAAGTATTAACTGAGAATATTTCTCGATGAAATATGTTATTTGTCTCCCTTCTCCCAGTCTTTGTTTAAAAATATGCCCCTTCTAATGTCTAGTTCGCAATACGCATGGTAATTTTAAAGTTTAGTTAATTACAAACCAGTACAATTTCCTCATAAGATGAAAGTAGAATTTTTTCACGGATAAATTGCATCGTGGATTCCTCATCATACGCTTCAGGGATCGGAACCAAAGGAACGCAGACAAACTCGTCATCAGGTTTGGCTGCTGTTAGCCATGCGCAGTAGAACAGTTTGGCTCCAAGGATTGACTGTCCAAGGATTCGTCCATAGCCAGAACTGTGTAGACCGATCACCTTCAGGGTTGAATATTACAGATTGTAGAATGAGACAATAAGACAAAGCCGTTAATGTTGTATATAGATTCTTAAGGCTTTACTATTTCTGAAGACTGAAGTGAATCTATCCTCTTAAGTCTAGACGGAGGTAAAATATAATTAAAGAAATTGTTTTAAAAGATACAAAATGTGACCACACGCTCAAGGAATTGTTTTTCTGGAATGTTATTACCATAATTTATCACACTACCTCCACCTATGACTATAATTTAACCATGGGATAGTTGTTTTGAAATTGCACCATTTCAGGCATCATTAACGGTGATATTACCTTGTGTGCTAGGTACACTCCTGCCGCCGCTGCTCCTGGTTTTGATGTCTCCAGTCCTAAACAATTGACAGTTACGTAACCAGTACTGTTCAGCATATCAGTGGAAAAGGCCAGAAAAGACTTCATTTGTCCATTCCTTTAGTTAGACACAATAAGTCATTATTTCAAGTTATATGTCTATTCTAAACTCTTTATTTCGAACTATTACGTCCCCCTTTTTGATGGTGGGTTTAAAATACAGGACAGAGGCCTCATTGAAAAACATTTTCCAAAACTGAATTGGTTCGGTTAGTGAAACATTAACATGTTATATAAGAAACAAGAAATTATAAATATGCCATCATAATTATCATTCTCACTCAAATTCAATAAAACATAGGCAAAACATGAAGAAAAGAAAGATGTACACGGTTACACCTGTAAAAGTACAAAGAATAAACTAGGTGTTCCGGAGGAGTACGCATTTTCTGATTCATCGACGACACTCGCTATGTAAATATTGGTATCTGACACGCTTGTTGAACATGCACTTGTACATAGAAAGGAACTTCCGATATGTCCAGGGATGAAATAATTTACTTACTTCTTTCAAACTCGGATGGCTCTAAACATCGCAAGAAGTACATGGCAAATCTCGGGGACTAAAAGTCTACCGTTTTTAAATCTCGAAGACTGACGAGAAGACGCATAAGGAATAAACAACACAATTTCAAATTCATAACTCGATATTAATTAAACTGTATCATACAGTTGTTTAATCCTTAAAGCAAATGTTGACCTTTTGGCCTTTTTGTCTTTCAATTTTCTAATAAAAATTTGTCAGAACAACAAAGAGCCAAGAGGAATCGTTCTAAAGAATTTAATTGCCATGGAATCAGTAACATCTAAAATAATCGGGAATTTTTTTATTTTGCTGCAAGTCTGCATAAGCATAATGGTGATTGATTTATTTGTAGAAACATCAACAATAACTTACAGCTTATATCTTACCTATAGCACAGAAATCCTGCCGGATAGGGACAATATCCCGCTTTGTGTGGATCAATGGTTACTGTGTCTACATCCTTTAAGCAAGACAATTGTTTTCTCACGTAGTCACTCAGAGGAAAGGCTGGCAACAACTTGTCTTTCTCCTCAGGCTTTCTTATCATGGTCGTATAATAACCACCCCAGGCTCCATCAACAAGCAGGAAGAAACTGAGGCCCTGTAACACGTGAATTTTTTGTTTGTTAAAATGCGGTACAATATGAAGATATTTAGATATTTCAAATATCAGAACAAAACAGAGAGGCCATGCTGTTTTCAGAAAAGCACCTTTGAATGACCTTAGCATCCCTGGATAACTAGCTGTGGCGATGATATACGACACCAAAGGAAAGGAGGAGCAACATTCGTACACTGATATACCCTTTAAAACATAGTTGACATATATATTTAGTATCAATTATTAACACTTGTTATTTTTGAAATGCTTCACTTCTTGCCTTGGTCCTATACTCTGCTCTCAAGTGAAGAATATCTTCAATTGAATCCACAGCTCCATGCTCTGTTGTACCGATGTTACAAACAATGGCAATAACCGGGACTTTTTTCAATAGACATCCGTCAAGAAGTCTGCGCAATGCTGAAGAGAAAAGTATTTCAGTGCGATTTCAACTTCCCCCGGATTTAAAAACAAATGAAAACACAGATGAATTGCACCTTTCAATATAACAAATACAAGTATATATCGTATAACCAAACAGTGAATACAACTACAACAAACAAATATTTCGTCCTTGTAGAATACTTTAGTGTTGTATTCCGAATTTGCAGAACACTTTGGTGTTATATTCCGCCTTTGCAGATTACTTTGGTGTTTGAAAGACCTTCAGTATTGGGAATTTGAATCAGCTTGGTAGTGATGGATCTAACAATCACTCACAGTCGTTCAGGACAATGCTCTTCATTAAATCTCCTTTTTCTTAACACAAAAAAATTCCAAAAGGGAGACAAATCAAATACACAAAATAAGTACACATGGATGATTTACATAAAAATTATAGCTTTATATATGCCTATACATATGACATCAGGTATTGAAACATAGTTAGCGATAACAGGAATGAAAAGTTGGCATTTCAGGTTAGAATTCAATATATGATGCCGGGAACAATACGACTGTATTTAATACCGTTTGTATTACTCCAATGACATCACTCACCCACAACATCTGTCCTTGCAGAATGATCGAAAGGGACACATATTAAATTGCGTCCTCCGATCCCCAAAATGGTTGCAGCCTTCTCCCAGGTAAAGTGTTTGGCAGCGGAAGTCATAACCACTGGTTCGATTGTCAACCCGTGCATTCGATAAAATTCGACAAATCCGTTGTGCTCGATAGAGTACCTTAAAGTAGATAAAGATTTTAAGAACAGTGAACGTTTATACATAACCAATACATAAACTTATAGTATCTATGACATATTAAAATAAATGAAACTAACATATACAAGGTGAGTTGAAAGGATATTCATGACAAGTCTTATGTGGATATGTGCGCTTCATTAAAGACATAACGAAATTGATTATTATTTACATAACACTTGACGAAACCAGGAAAGACAGCAAAGAGTGAAATATTATCTAAATGGTAAGTAAATGAGTAAAGCATTGATGCTATTATGTGGTCTGTCAGTGTTAAGTCAATAATGTACTGAAAGAGATTCAATAAATGTCAACTGTATAAAGATATGGTATTTATTCTATGCCAGATGCAAGAAACAAAGTCAGGATTAACCAAATAGTTAAAAATGTATTCTTAAGTGTCTTATCAATCGAATGTTATAGTCTAGATAATCTTTTTTAAATGTTCTGTAAAATTTAGTTTAATTAATTTATGTTAATGGACAAAATGATCAAAACCTTATGAATTTGGTCAATGACTGATGTTTACACATCAGCACTGTAAAAGTATTACTGAAAGAATGGCTAAATGTGGCACTTCTTGTAGCAGTCATTGAATTGTATTATCGATTAATAATAATATTAAACAATTGCAGATTATGTGAATAGTTTTTCATACGTTTTCAGCTTGGAATCTGAACTGTTCGAATGCTGCAAGCGTATCGTTTGTAAAGTATATTTTTTTTAGATGCGCATGTCCATGTTCGAATGCTGCAAGCGTATCGTTTGTAAAGTATAATTTTTTTTAGATGCGCATGTCCATACCGGTTCCGTATAATTTTTCCAACGGTTCTCAAAATAAAAATAAACCCAATAAAATATTATTTATTTATTAATATTATTAAATTTACGGATTTTGTTCTTTTTTTAGGGAACGAACTATTTGCAAATTATATTCAGGTGGTATGTTTTGTATTGAAGATTTATTCCAGGACAGCTCACATATAAGTACGTCACATATGATTTAGGTAACTGGTTTCAGAGTAGGGTTTTCCTGACATATTCCATCAGAGAAAATATTGTATTTTTATCAATTCAGTCATCAGTGGCGACATGTTTTCATGTGTTAGATATAAATGCCATGACATTAAGTCACATATATTTGAAGTTATAGATTTCAGAAGGGTTTTCATGTCAAATTCGATTAGAGAAAAAAAATTATTCTATAAATTAAGTTGGGACAAGTATTCATGTGCCAGATATAAATGCACCGGAGCGTTGCACCTTTTCTCCTATGCCTAGCATTAAGATCGCCTGTCAAAAAAGACCATCCACGACTTGTATATTGAAATAAAAGCAATTATATCCCGATTCATCAAGTCACAGATCTTGACATCGCCTACGGGCCAAAACTTCTTTTTTTCAAATTGATTTTTAGTAATATATTCTCAAAATAAATCTCAAGGTCTTAAGTCGTTAGGTCACCTGAAGTATTTCCGTCGGACAAAATGAGTGGAACAGTCAACATATTCAAGTCTCTTTAATAATAGGTTCTGAATGTCTTACTTGTGGATAACTTTTCTGAAATCAATGTTGTCGTCTTTGATCAATTGACTAATTTCTTGTGGTAAAGATATGATGTCATCAAGGTTAAGATTCAGAAGATCCCATGTAGAGGAGGATATCAACTTCTGTTTTCTATCCAGTCTGGGAATATACACCCTTAGATCCTTTATATCTGCTAAAGTTGGTTCTTCCCGAATAGCTTTTTGGACTGCCAAAGGGAAGAACTTTACATTTCTAGATGCCCATAAAGCTTCGATATTGGAAGATGATCCACCATTGGTAATGTACCCCCGTGGATTGCTTCTCCTATCAAAGCCAAGCAAGTCACACAACTGTTTTCCGACCTCTATTTCAAGTTGTGTTGTAACTGGACCACCCTCTTTGCCCGCATTGTTCGCATTGGTCATCCATGCGGCTAGAAATCCCAATCTTGCTGCTGTTACCGTATCAGCCAACATATGGCCCTAAAATACACATTGAAAACATGACATTTTTTAATTATTTTTCAAGCATAGTATACGCGTGTTATGTATTTTGCTACTGTGCCCTGGTGAGGTGCCTATGATGCCTTTCGTTGTTGTAAACACTCTCAATCTCCCAAAAGTAAATAATGCATTTTTAATTTATATCTTCTAAAATGCTTCTAATGACAATATTGCGAATAATGTTTCATTTATCATTTCAATTGAAATAGATATGATTTTAATGTCAAAACATACTTTAGTTCCAAAGTATTGTATATTGAAACACACATAATAATCACCGGCTAGAGTAAAATAAGCCGATGATTAAGAATGTAACATGATATGAGTAACTCGTTCATCTCTCTACCGATCAAGTTAAAAGGAAATTCCTTCTAGCTTGAAGCAAGAAGGCGATCGTTACTGTTAAGACAAATATAAAATGTCAAAAACATTTCATCCTACCTGATATCTGACATTCGCGAATGGAACTGACTCCGACAGTGTATCGTTCAGCGATTTTAATTCTGTTTCAAGCTTAGACATCTCCTTTTTGTAATTTGGTGATGCTTTCACTTCGGACGTGATATACAGACTATCCTCCTGGAAATAACTTTTGGGTTTGGCATTTTGTCGAATTGCTTCTATCGCAAGACCGCAGAATTCATCTATGTTTTCAGCTGACGGTCCAATAAACCAAGATCCTAATTTCTCCCATTGAGTTTTACAGATGTCGGAAGTCATCCTCTGATCACAACCGTTATTTTCGCCTCCGCCGGAACTAGCCATTTCCCCCTATGGGATGAGACGGGGTTTGTTTTTAGAAAACCTAAGGACAATATTCGACATTCATATAACAGTGATTTAGATCTACTGAAATGGATTACTCATTAGAAATCATTTTAAAAAGCCATAATTCCTTGTCTAAAACAACTTCACTGCTTCGTCGTGCGATATGTCTGAGTTTGAAATATTTCTTTCCTTCGCTGAACACATGGCATTAACAAACACATGACACATATACAAAACAGATTGATCTGTAAAGAAACGCGTCTTCTATTTCACCCAGGACACCAACCGCTTGAATTCACAATGTAGGTAAATCCAGAAAACGTTTCATAGTAAATGACTTAAATTTCTGCCCCATCCCACGGAATCTAAACAACGCAGAATTGGTACAGGAGTGTGACGTGCATGTGTTTCCTTTGCGATCACAAATATGTTCAGTGTCATAACTAGATTTACGTAAACATTTTTGATATTTTAATCACCATCTTACATACAACAACTTGGAGTGGATTTTTGTCCGCCTTTGGCGTCCGTCGGCCGAAGGGATTATCGAGACACCAATATTTACACAGCCGCTTTCCAATAATTTTTTTTATAACTTTGTATTTGTTTTATGTTCTGTGTATATGACGTAAACAGGTTTGGGAACGTAATAAGAATGTAATGCGAGTGCAGGTGTTAAGTTGGGGAGTTGCGTTCAGGTTGTTGTCCATGTCACGTCGGACCAGTTCGGCTACATACACACAGTCACGTGAACAACACTTCATGCACGGTTACTTCACATAGACGTAAACAGAATACATACACGTAAACAGATATACTAAATATATACATATAACCATAAGCACTGTAGGGACACCTAGGTGACCACTCCAAGTTTAAAAGATTGTACAGGACAATCTGGGATTGTAATCCCTGATATAACAACAGCTTCTATGGCCTTACCAATTTAACAGGCATTATCCCCACATTAGGGATGATCCGGGTGGTCACAACCATACAATCTGCGTAACACGAGAATGAAACATTTAAAGTAAAAGATAATTTTGTGAATAATATCTCACACAAAAAATTCACCATAGGTCCCTTACTCATATGCTGTGACATAACCCACTCTCCGTAGCTGCCCGGGGGCGTACGGGACGTATTGTCCACTCCGGACCCCTGGGAGATTCCGGAACCCCAACAAGCTCAGAAACATAATCATCCTTATGGAATACTGCAGAGGCAGCTCTGAATTCATCAGCAACTCTGTCAACTGACCTTGAGCTAATGTTTTTTCCTATGCTCTGGGACCACTTAGAGGGAAAATCAGACATGGGGATAACTTCTGCCTTCGTCGCTGTGGAATATTGCCCACTACAAGTGAACTAGTACTGCTCGAATCCGAATCCGAGACAGTATGGGTACTTGGCTTGTTTACCTTTTGGATCGACTAACAGGAGCTGTGAGGGCTTTGTTACTCGTCTGCTCCTCTACTTCATCAATGGGCGGTGTCGTAAATGGCAACGGCATATTCCGGCGCAGTGTACGAAGGGGGCCAGTTCCCTTCTCACTTCGCACCTTATAGATCTATGATGCTTACCACCCTATATGGACCATGCTCCAACCGGTCAGCTACTTTGTGTTTCTCTTGGACCAGCATCTGATCCCCCTAACTAAATGGTACACTCCCTAACCTTCGTATTACACCTAGCCTTGTTTTTTACAGCTTTTCTATTGACTTCGTTAGCTGCAGCATGGTATGTATACTCTAAGTTTCTTTCCAAGTTTGTGGACGTCAGAGACCTCCCATCGCGTTGCTGTCTGTAGCAACACCTAGAAAGCCATCTACAGCAAACCTGGGATGCCATCCAAAGATCAGAAAGTGGGGGAAGTGGAGGAACCATGGATGGGCCATACGACTTCCAATCTACTTTGTTTCCTCTACAAGTGTGGCAAGGATAGTCTGATTGAACCTCTCTGCAGAACCATTCCCCAATTGGTGGTATGGAGTAGTTCTAGGTTTCTTTACCCCTGCGAGCTTACAAGGCTCTTTTAACAACTTGCTTTCGAAGTTACGACCCTGGTCGCTATGATGCTTCTCTGGGAACTCATAATGAACATTTAAGTTCTTGTAGAGAACCTTGGTGACTCACCTCATCGTGGATACCTTATAAAGCTTAGGCCCTGTGAGCTGTTGGTACTAACAGCTGTTTGACCCGAGTCCCATCTACCATAACTGTTCTTTTTTTTAGTACTCAGATTTTGGCTCTATTTTCCTCTAGACGGTTGATATAGTCTATAATCATGTACATACACTTTTTGTTTTTACATAACATCAGGGTTTCTTTTTGTTAGTTTACTGTGGTTTTAGTCGCCGAGCCATATCATCATCGTACTTTTTATTCATTCTTTTTTTTTTCGATCAGTATTTTATTACTCGAAAATAATAAATCACATATTGTTTATAGTTAAATAAAATGACAGGTTTAAAGTGCAAAGTGAAATATTAGTATCAGTTGTTCGGTTGTAAAAGGTGTACCAGGCTAAGCTAGTCCATAATTTGAATAGACTGGATAGCTTATCATTGCAAAAATACGCGCACGTGCTCGAGGATATATGGATTATATTTGATGGAATTAACGATGCTCTCGTCTTGATATAGCGTACAGAAGGATTTCAGCCTATATATGCACATGTGTATTGTATAATCAGGTAAGTAATCATTCAAAGAAGATTGCATCTGCTTTTATTAAAGGCTATAGGAGTAAGTTGTTTACAGTTAGCCTACGCAGTACATTGTATACAAAGGGGGTCATTTCAAAATATTTACATTGTTTTTCATTGACTATGGAGGGATCGTCTCAAAAACTTATAACAATTCTACTTTTTCCTGAAGATGTATCCATTCAGGTGTTAGCTGTTACCCTTGTTGATAGTATTGTTTCGTATATATCTCTACTTTGCAGTTCATGCAGCCTTATATATTTGTGTTTAATGTTGTCATAGAAGTGAAATGGACAGTCAATTTTCACTTGCGTCTTTCTACTATCTTCTTCTTCAAGAATGTTTAACCAACTTTTCGGAAAAGCTCTTTTCAGTTTATTTATTTCTGATATCCAGTTTGTTTTTGTTTCCAATTTGGTTAATATAAATTCCTCAGATATTTTTTCTCTTGGTTAAGAATGTCTTCAACTGTTATTAAGTCATTTTCTATCCAATTATTGTAAACTAAACTTTTCCCTTTGTATTTAATAAATTGATTTCCCCATGATATTTGTTTTCTGATTATGTGATGTGTTGTTGGGAAAAAATTGTTGTTGACTGTGTTTTATCCATGCATTTAGTATGTCGCGATAGAACTGAGGTATTCTTTCTGTCCTTTCTTTTACTTTTTTCAGAATCAAGGTTCATTTTGAAAATTAGACATTTTTTTCCATATTTCCCATAAACCCTGCTGGGGAGAGTCTTCCAGTTTCCTTCATAACCTTCCTTCATAACCATTTAACCCATTTAATTCTGAGCATTTCTATGTGAGATTCAATGTCACTCATGTTTAAGCCTCCCTCTTCAAGTTTTCTTACCAAATCTGCTCGTTGTAGTTTTTCCCTTTTTCCTTCCCATATGTATTCAAATATCATAGTTTTTAACCTTTTAATCATAAGATTTGGCTCGTGTATATTAGCTGCTTTATATGTTATTATTGGTATGATTAGTGATTTCACAATCTGAATTCTGCCTATTATTGTAAGCTTTCTCCTTTTCCACTGTTGCAACTTTCCACTAATTTTTTATTCCATTTTTTCCCAGTTGAGCTCATCGCAAAGATTCCTATTGGTACCAAAATATATTCCCAAAGATTTAATTGGTTACTTCGAAAACTGAATTCCTTCATATACTGCTTCTCTGTTTTTCCATGATCCTAACCACATTCCTTCAGTTTTGTTTTTGTTTAGCATTAACCCAGAGTATTTACCATACTCATTAATTAGGTTGAGAGCCAATTTTATTTCAAAATTTGTTTTTAGGAATAGCGTAGTGTTATCTGCGAATTGGGAAATTTTATATTGTGTTTTAATTGTATAGGTATTCCTCTGACGTATTTGTCCTCTCTTATTCTTATTGCAAGAATTTCAACAGCTATGACAAACATCAAAGCCGACAAGTGACAACCTTGCCTTATTCCACGTGAAATGTTGATTTTTGTCGATAACCAACCCTTATTTAATATGTAACCAGAGACATTTTTGTACAGAGTTTTTACCCATCGAATAAAAGAATTATTAAAACCAAATTTTGTTAGGGCTTCTAGCATGAAAGGCCATTCTATTGAATCGAAAGCTTTCGAGAAGTCGAGGAATAATAAAGCACCATTTGTCTTATTTTTTTCTGTATATTCTATCATATCTTGGATTTGCCTTATATTAAAACCAATGTTTCTATTTTTTATATAACCAGTTTGATCTGAATGTATAATATCAGATTTGAGTCTTTGTGCTATGGCTCTTGCTGCTATTTTATAATCGACATTAAGAATTGTAATAGGCCTCCAATTGTCTAAAGATAGTGGGTCACCTTTTTTGAAAATCAGAGACAAGAGTCCTTGTTTCTGTGTAGTTGACATTTCTTCATGTTCATAACCACTATTGAGTGAATCAAGTACCATGTCACTAACCTCATTCCAGAAAGTTCTGTAAAATTCTACAGTTAATCCATCTAGGCCGGGGCTTTTATTTAATTTCATTTCAAATGCTGCTTTTTTTTATATTCTTCGAGTTTTAATTTACCGTCGCATCTTTCTTTTTGTGATGTGTTGAGAAGTTTTCTAGTGCGTGTTTGCTGAATGTACTCTTTTATCTCATTTTCATTTAGGCTTTTGGATTTATACAAGTTTTCATAATATTGTCTTTCTAACTCTAGTATTTCTGTTTGACTTGTAACTACTTTCCCATTTTTTGTATTTTAATTGAGTTAAGTTCTTCATACTCTGCTTTTTTGTTTCTAGCCCAAGATAGTATTTGGTGGTTTTTTTTCCTCCTTTTTCTAGCCTTAGCTCTGATTTGAGCCCCCCTTGCTTTGTATTCATAAGCATCCTCAATTTCTTTCTCTAGTTCAGTCAGTTTTGAACTATCTGCTTCACTCAAATACATTTTCAAGTTTTCAAGTGTTTTCTCCATTTCTACAATCTCATTTTTTCTTTTTATTGCCAGGTCCCTGCAAAATTTTATAGTGTACTCTTTTATTTCTTTTTAACCATAACCATAACTTTTCTTTAAAGAACTCCTTGGTTCAAAGAAATGCACCGACGCTCCCTAAGATACTTGCGTACCTCAGGCAATTTATTTGCTTAAACATTTTTGAAGTTCAATAAGAACAAAACGTTGCACATATACGTTTTAGGGACGTGATATGTAAAACATCCTACAAACTTTAAATTTTTCTCTAAATGTTGTGTATAATAGAAAGGAATTTATTATTTTTTTAGTTAGAAATATTTATTACAATCCAAATTATTGTGCAGCTTTTATGAGAAGGGTTTCTCTTCTGTGAATCTGTATTTAGTGAACGTATTTGAAATTTTATAAGAAAAGTACATTCTCTCCTTATATAGTGATAGTTACAGCGTAAAAGTACATGTAGCATCAAATACCCTCAGAGAGGCGTCAAACTAGTTAACGAGATATCTTTACCTTTGTCCTCTTTCCCCACGAACACCTTGTCCTTCTTGATTTGTTTGGCTTTGAGTTGAGTGTCCGCCCAGGTGAGAAAGTTTATGTCCAAACGTTCGGATACACCAAAGATATATATTAAAATGGTGCTTTCTGTTTAGCATTACTTGGATCCACAAGGACTTGTCATTATAGTGAAATAATATGTGAAAAGGTTCGGCCTAGCTTGGGCTCAGTTTACATGTCATGTACAGATGTTTTTATGCTAATTCATACCGTTATCTGATTTCCCTATCAAATGAGTAGTCGACAAACTGCAATCTGACAATTTAAGAGTGTCCGACGAAGTCTCGCGACAGTTGTAGAGCACGATATACATGTATAATGAATCTATCTATCGATTCAGATAACTTCCAGCGAGATATCTCGCACGATTAACTGGCACGATTTTTTTTTCACATGTTACGAACTTTGTTTATAGAAGGAGTGTATTTACAGACTGGTACTTGTGATTTTGATATATGGTAGATGTTAGTTGAGAGATAATGATTGGGATCAGATTTGTGCAAAATTAGAATCATAATTCAAACTCGTATTAAGAAAACTAGAGCGAAAGGAAGATTAACACGGCAATTACTGGAACAAATGCATGTATGATAAAGCCGGGTTTTATTGGAGTGAATTTTTGGCTGGACATAATACCTTCACATAGACCAAACTGTTAATCATTTTGAAACAAATTAGAACACAAATCCTCTGAGAAGTAACCATTGACTTTAGGATCAGACGCCAGCTAACCATTTATATGTTATACAAAATGTTATTCACATGTGTGCCTTTGGTACAATCTTCAAGCTTGCAGGT